GTAACCATCCAATTGAGAATGATACAGAAGAATCGTGAGTCAATGTCCATGCCCAACAGGGCAACACCAACAGCATAACCCAATGTAGCTCTCTCTTATGAATGGCGCCAGGCGCCCTATCTACTCTACRGACTAAGCCTACAACTRCAGCAATGAAAGCAACCAGACAACTTGACTACCAGCGAGTGATGATGTCAACACCAATGCCGACCTCCACCTCCACCAGGTRYGTGTCCTCTTCCCCCACACTCTTCCTTGTTACCCACACAGCGCCCTTCACCTCCGAAGAACCACCTTCGCCCTCACCYCCCCTGCACYCTCATGCGGCCCGGCTATGGCCGCMAGTGCCCTSTGTGCAGGCAGCGCCCTACCGCCTAGCGCTAGCCTGCTTCAACCCAGCACAGCGCAGCTCTGCACAGCRCAGCACACTTGCATTTGYGCAGYGTGCCCGCAATGCCTGCATTGGCCAAGCTCCCTGCCCACTCGCCCTACTTGCCTATATGCCAGTGTTGCGTGTGGGCGGCCTCCCTTCAGCCTGCGTCTGGGGCCCAGTCGCTGAACCCAGGCCCGATACAGTTGGGGCCCGGGGGATGCAGTTGCACCTCTCTTTCGTCAAGGCCTGCGGCCAGATTCAGATATTGGGCCGATTTCCCTTTGGCATTTTCGGCCTCTATACCCAGCATGCATTGTCGGCCTCACGTTCAAGTGCCCAGGGCCTAACTAACTCAGAGGCCCTGGGTTTTCAGCATTTGCTGAAATCCGAGACTCGGTGCACTCCAAMCAACTGGCGTGCTGCAACTGTAAGGACCCCACTTCGTGAAATGTTTGTACAGAGGGCTCTTGTTGATTTGCTGGCCCGCCTTCACTTAGGGCGGGCACGAGGCTTGCTGGGGCCTTAGCCCAGAACATGTACATCATGGCAAGGCCCCTTCTTGAGGGCTCAATCCTCACATTCCATCCCCCTTAGCTTCGAAAGTCCGCTGAGATGCTTACTTCGCAG